GCACAGCGGCTAAAGCGCTACCTTGCATGCACCCAGATCCCATACAGGTGCCAGCTGCCCCACTTCCCATCCAGCCCCCGGCTTGTGGCCTGGGAAAGCAGTAGAGGATGGTCCAAAGCCTTGGGACCCTGCACCACATGGGAGACCCAGAAAGCTCGTGGCTCCTGGCTTCAGATCAGCTCAGTTCCAGCCATTGTGACCACTTGGGGAGTGAGTTGGCGGACAGAAGATCCTTCTCTTCATCTCTCCTCTCTATAAATCTGCCTTTCCAATAGAAAGAAATAAATTATTTTCAAAAGAAAAAGTGGAGGGCCCGGCAGCATGGCCTAGCAGCTAAAGTCCTCGCCTTGAACTGGCACCAGTTCTAATCCCGGCAACTCCACTTCCCATCCAGCTCCCTAATTGTGGCCTGGGAAAGCAGTCGAGGACGGCCCAAGGCTTTGGGACCCTGCACCCACGTGGGAGACCTGGAAGAGGTTCCTGGTTCCCGGCTTTGGATCAGCGCAGTACCAGCCATTGCACTCACTTGGGGAGTGAATCATCGGACGGAAGATCTTCCTCTCTGTTTCTCCTCCTCTCTGTATATCTGACTTTGTAATAATAATAATTAAAAAAAAAAAGTGGGAAAACCTGCTGGTTTTAGCAAACACCAGGAAGGTGGACCCGTGCTGGGGTGGACAGGATGCTGACCGGGAACGGAGATGGAACCGGAATGGCAGCTTCCTGAGGTCTGCTCAGTGCAGCCTGAGCACATGGCCAGGCTGGTAAAGTTGCTGCCTTTTTAGCAGGCGGTTGCAGTTACCCCTTGTAACCGTTGTCCCAGAGCCTCCAACACGGCCACGTGCTGTTCCTCCCTGTCCCAGGGAGAAGGCCAGCTCCTTTGACTCCCACAGCTAGGCCCAGTGGAGTCACTGATTCTCCCATAAGGTAATGGAGCAGGTGTTGCCTCTGAACGAGGCTACAGTGAACAAGGACCTAATGAGAGGGGCACAGAGGTGCTTCTCGCTCATTCTCGATCCTTCTATAATCATCCACATATGGCTAAGCGAGCCTTACCGCTATTCCTCATTCCCCTGGTCCTCATTGCCACTGTTGCCACGATTGAGCCAACTCTCCTGTTGTGTCAGCTCCCGTTCTGGACACACCAAGCCAGGAAGGCCAGGAACCTGTGCCATGTCACTTAGGTGTCTGCAAGCCAAGCTGGGAGAACTTAGCAAGAAAGCAGAGTGGAAAAGGAGACCCGTGTGTGATTAATGCAATCCAGGCGCGAGGCCTCGGGGGTGAGGCCAGTTATCGAAGGTGAGATGTATATAATTTAAATCCAGAGAGCACACATAAGTACTTTTTATTCCAAGAAGATTAGAATTTAGAATAGAGAAATGACTTAATAAGCAGAAACCCCATAGTGCTTACATGAAGCTATTTTGAAAGTCCGTGGAAATGCGCATGATGACGAAACTAAGTTTGAATTTCTAACTTGTTCCTGCTTCAAAACAGCCCTTTTTACTCCATTTTGCACAAACTGAGGTATCCCTTTACGTCGACATTAAATGCAAGCTTAATCAAGGTTCAATACTTGCGATGTTCCAGAACACTCAGCCCATGGAGTTTCTCATGGGATAATTTTTTTCAGTTCATACTTTAAGTTGAAAAGTGAGGACCCAGCACAATGACTCAATTAGCTAATCCTCCCCTTGCAAGTGCCAGGATCCCATATGGGCACCAGTTCTACTTCCCAATAAAAATAAATAAATCTTTAAATAAACAAGTCAATGTGAAAGTGAAAAGAATTTGACTGTAAGCATCATTAGAATATCTAAAAAAAAAAACTTAGCATTTATTTAGAATTGTGCTACTTTTTTAGGCCCAATGGCATTCTCTGAAATCCTTGGGAAAGTTCCGTTTCTTATTCTCTAGGAATGGAATTCACTGTATTTATAAATGTGGTTTGGGCTATCAAAGGCTGCGCTGCCTGATACAGAGAGAACGCGATCCACGTACAGAAGGGATTGCAAAACTCCGTGCACAGTCAGATGTGTTGTTAAAAAAAAGAAAAATGAGATCCATGCATAATGTTCCCAAACTACACATTTTTCCGTGAACTTTTTGAAGAGTCTTCATACATAATTTAATGTTTCCCAATGGTCACGTTGCTAAAAGGTGAAAGAGAATAAGCAAACTGTGTTATAATAATCGAGTTTACTTAACATAACACGTCCCGAGGATATTATCATTTCAACGTATTATTCACCTAAAAGTAGTACTGAGTATCATTACGTTCTTTTTGGAACTCATCCTTAGGATCTACTGTATATATTACACTTCACACATCTCCACTTGAGCCACCACATTTTAAACACACATTTCCAGGGGCTACGGCCCTGAGCAACAGGGATCTAAAGGCGTTTAATTGGCTTCTCTTGTAGAGGATATTTATTATTTAAAGAGGCCTAGGCTGTGCAACTTGATTTGCTGAAATATTAATCAAAGGCCCCTTGAAAGTCATTGTTAAAAATTACTGAGCTTACACATAAAATGCGACTCGAATGTTAAATTTTCAAGCTCAGGAAAAAAACAGATTTTTAAATTTGTTCATTAAAGGATGATATCTTTTGAAAGCCACCCCGAGCAACGATTTCCACACGCAAAACCAGCCCTAAAGCGCCTGAAAACTACAGCGCAGTGGAGCTGGAGTCAGGGAGCTGGATGGGCACTGCCCCAGTGCGAAAGGCCTTCATGACGACAGCGGCGGGTGAGAACTGGAGGAGCCCTGGACGGTCATCTTCCCAAAGCAGCCCCATTCCAAGTCCAGGCAAACTGAGGCCCAGGGGAGGAAAGGAGCACAGCGACAGGATCAGAAGCCACAGGATCAGAAGCAGGACACGACACAGCCCTGGGTTTCTAGACCCCACTCCAGCCTCCTTCATCAAGGACTTCCAGTTCTTTGTCTCTGTAGCTTCACCCTTAGAGGTACAGAAGTGCAAGGTCCCAGGTCCAGGACTCCGGGGAGCACCGGCAGAGGCGTGGACCCAGTTCCCTAAGCCCTGGTCACTCACCAACACAGAGCAGGCCGCCCTGTCTCAGCCCAGGGACCAGACCACCTGGGCAGAGAAGCAGAGAGCCTGGCACCTCCCCGGGGTGGTCAGCCCGGGCATCGGAGGGCCCAGGGCAGGTAGGCTGGTCCTAAGCAGCCCACGCTCCTCCAGGGCCGTAGCTCCGACAGCAGGGACGGGCGGCCTTCCCCAGGCTTCAGACCCAGCCCCTGGAGTGAAGCCTCTAGAACCCCAGTCTGACCTCATTCTCTGGGCTCCCTCTCCTCCATCTTTTAATATTGCTATTATTATTATTACTATTATTATTATCATTATTACCTTTGCTTTTTCTCCTTGAAGGATCTACACAGACCCCCTCATGAGCAAATCTAGGCTCATTTTGCCTCCTGCGGGCAGGGCTTGCCAGGCTCTGGACCCGAGTGGGCACAGTCGTAGTGGTGAAGCGCTCAGACAGGCCAGCAACAGCGGCTCAGCCTGCCTGAGATACCATCCACTCTCCACCTACAGGCCCTCCTTGCCAGGGCACTTTGGTGCCACTGCACACTCCTGCCAAGCAGATGCATCGGCCAGCATTTATATTTTATGCATCCCTGTCCTTTTTATTTAGGGCACATATACCCACTTTCCACCTGCAATTGTGGTGTAAAGTTTCCTTTCCAAATTCAGTTGATATCAGGTACAAAAAGCGCATCAACTACAAACATAGTTTCAAAAACAAGAAGCAACTGTCGTGCCCACAACAGAGCAGGTCCCACGGGGCTGTCCTTGTACTTTCCCTTTGGGCACCATTCAAGGTCATTTCCCCTGGCTCCTGCACAGATGGTGCTGCCCAGTGTCCAGCTCAGTCCTAGGCCCTCATTCCCATAGGAGGCCAGGCAAGGAGCTGGCCCAAGGCCCTGGGCAGGACCTGCCAGCTCTGAATGAACCTTAAGCCTACTGTGGCATGGCCAAGACTCCCAGAGAAGACGAGAGAGTGGAGAGCGAGGAGACAGCGATGAGAGGAAGCCCCATCTGCTGTACCCATGTACCCTCAAGTCCTAGATTGGAAACTGCTTGTGGAATGAGGGAGACAAAGCTGAGGGCAGACCCCACAGGCCCCAGGGGCACACAAACTCACACTCCCAGAAAAACACGGGAACAGGGCAGCTCAGGGACTCACAGTGTATGCCTGCAGCCAGGGGCAGAGAGGAACCCCGGGCAAGAGTGTGCCCACCTGCTCCCATGTCCCCTCCTGAAGGACCTCATTCCAAACCAAAAGCACCTGACTGCCCATGTCCACACTGCTGCTTCCACACCAGGCTCATCACCCCCTAAATGGGACAGCACCCCAGAAGCCTGCTCTCTGGGCCTCTGCCCATCCCTGACCAGCTCAGACACAAGCTCTCAGCAGGAGCCAGCCCTGGTAGCTACCCATTCCCCCCTGCCCCAGTCGCAAGTGCGCTTTGGCCATGGCACGTGGCCCTCAAATGCCTGCCACTTCTACGTGCCCTTGGCCACCCCAACTGGCTGAGCTGAAGCCACCAGCCACTCACTCTCCTTGGACTTCTCAAGCCCCGAGCCCAGCTTCAATGTTAAAAATCTGACATCAGAAACTCTCCCTCTTGGAAAAGGGAATGGCTGCTTCTGGCGAGGTGGTGAGAAAGCCACAATGGAGGAGCTCTGGTGCCCACAGGGGAAACCCGCCCTAGGAACCCATCGGTGAGACACATGGTTGGCACTGCACCCCACACTGTCTCACGCCCGGGCCCTCAGGACTGGAGTACCGTCCAGGCACAGCGCTGGCCCCTCTCTGAGCTGCAGCAGCTGCCAGCAGAACCGAGACCTCCCCGCATACAGTTTTGGCTTAAACAACTCCAGAAACATGGCTAGGAGATAACTGGGGGGGGGGGGGGGGGCGGGGGGGTCCTAGGGCACACGCAAGTAGAAAGTGACAGAGGAGCAGGTTACCTGGGAGGGCTGCCGTCAGCAATCCAGCCAGCATGAACAGGAGCCGCATGTCCGGGGCCATTTCCGACACTTAAGCGTGTCCTCCAGTGGGAAGCGCCATCCTGGGACCAACAGGTGCACCCCTCTCACCCGCCCCACCAGTGCAACGTGCGCCTTTCTCTCAGCTGCTTTCTCTCTGAAACACAGACGACCAAGCCCAGCCGTAAGAGTCTCTTGCGCCTCTCCCCTCTGCTTGTGGTTTTGGTCTCCAGGAAGCTAGGCTGGTACAGCTGCGAGCCAGGCTGATGCAGCACGCCTCTGCTGGGAGCCCCGCAAGCCCAGGTGAACCCCAAGAGTCACAGAGTCAGATACCATGGACACACATGCACACTCAGATGCGGACACACACTTCCCCAGAATCTCCTAACACAAAGGGAAATGGAGGGGCTGTTGGTACTTGTGCAATCAACACACATGGAAAGCGGAAGAGATGGCTCATTGTGTTCCATTCCACGGATTCTGCTTTCCTCGGATCAAATCCCAAGTTGACCTTGTCCTGGTGTACGAGGGTGGCTGGGAAGCAGGAAAGGAGAGGTCTTGGTACAAACTTTTTTTGTGTGTGAAAGGCAGAGAAAGAGACAAAGTGACACCTTCCGACTGTTCCTATGTCCCCAAATGCCGACAACTGTCCCCAAATGCCGACAACTTCAGGGTTGGACCAGGCTGAAGCCAGCAGCCTTCTCAATCCAGGTCTTTGAGTGGGTGACAGAAACTCCAGTCGTTAAGCCACCATCTGTTTCCCAGGCCGTGTAGAAGAAGCTGCGTCCAAAGCAATAGCGAGACTCTGACCTGAGATGCAGGTGTCCCCAGTAAACTAAGTGGTAGCTTACTCTACTGTGCCACAACACACACCCCTCAAGGCACCATTTTAAAAAAAGATTTTTGTTTAAATGAAAGGCCAACTTACAGAGAGAGGGTGTGAGAGATCTTCTATCTACTGGTTCACTCCCCAACAGCTGCAATGGTCAGGGCTGAGCCAGGCTGAGACCAGGAGCCTGGAGCCCCATCTGGGTCTCTCATGTGGGCAGCAAAGGCCCAAGGAGTTACATCATCTGATGTTTCCCAGGCTCATTAGGCAGGAAGCTGGAGCGGAAGTGGAACAGCTGGGAATTCCAGTGGGGACACACTTCCTTGAGAGCCTACAGCCTAAGTAAGCTTTTCCTCAGACAAAAAGAAAATTGGGGTGGGCCTGAGAGAGTGCGTCCCTCACCTCCTTCTGCAGAAAGGACAGCCCTGGCCCAGGTGGGACTACCCCCAGAGATGGCACAGAAGGGTTCAACCCCACCTCTGCTCTAGGAATGGGGCTAGGTCCTCCTCTACGAGATTCTGGCATGGGACTGGGACCTGAAGCAGTGGAGAGGATCCTGACAGGTGGTGATGGGGGAGGCTCGAGGCCACACAGCAGAAGTGGAGGGCTGGAAGAAGGTGGTCAGGTAGGCTGGAACATATTGGGCTGCATGGGAGGACAGCAGCAGGAGGTTGCCACCGGTAGCAAAAGGCAACCACAAGTGTTTGATTACCGATGGGCATACCTACCGTAGGCGCTGAATAAATGTTTGTTGAATGAAAGAAGAGATAGATTGCCCAAGCAGAACCCTGAAGAGGGTTGATTGTGGCCACTCTTGGGGACCCCCTCTTGGTCATTCACTGCCCACTTCCTCACGTGGGTTCGTTTCCCCGCTTGTGCAAGCTGGAAGATTTTTTTTCCCTTCACTGAGTCCTGCCCAAGGGAATGTTTGATGTAGTGGGTTTGGGAGCCTCGGGGAGCCAGACTCCCCTCTGGGTGGCTCGACCCTGTCCAACCCAGGGGGGCAGAATAGGCTTGGCCATCAGCTGAGGTTGCCCTCTAGTGGATGGTCTCTAGCAACACAGGATGGTGCATGGGTGTGCCCAGCTCACTGATTCAGTTCTGTTTTCATTTACCATGCTTCAGTGAGTGGAACTTCGTGATGGACTCGTTGGGGAAGGAGAACACTATTCAAAAACAGGCGACCAAACCACAAGCCGGGGTAAAGTGGACACACACGCGATCACGTGGTCCTGAGCGAACCGTATTCAAGCGGGGTTGGGAAACCTGGCTCCCGCCTTGGTTCCTGACAATATGATAGACAGTGTATGCTGAGGCGTCTCTGAGGCAAAACGCTGGCGGAAGAGAGCCCAAACAAAAGCAGCTTCCACCATCCCTACAAAGGCACCACTGCGGGATGCACCACGAGAAATGAAGTTCAAGTCCAAAGAGAGCAGGAACACAAGTTTTCCCTTAGGAACCTGCTGATCCCGGGTGCTCGAGAACTTCAGTTCCACGGACTTGGGCAAACCCCAGAGCCTGAGAAATGTCAAAAAGCAAAACCAGAAGACCTCTGTCACCCGCCCACCCCACCCCCAGCCAAAGCAAAGAACACTAGAACACAACCTATTGCAGGAGGCGAACTCAGAAAAGAACTCCTCAAAGGGAACCAAGCCAGAGTTGGCCAAGCTCAGCAGTGGCTATCAGGTCAAGGAAAGGAACTTCCATTCCCAGCGTCCCTAACTGCTCACTGGTCCACAGGTGGGTCTGCAAGTGGGATTCGTAGCATCTGTGTAGAAACAACAATCAACAAATGAACGACCATATATAAAATGTTAAGGAAAAGTACCTGTTTCCCTAGGCATGTGGCAGCCAGAAATGATGAAAACTCAACGCATGCCTGAAAGAATTGCCACAGAAAAAGTTCAAATATGAGCTCACATGCTAACTTTTTTTTATTACATTGCATTATGAGACAGGTTTTAGGCGCTGGGATCCCCCCTCACATGCTAACGTTAAAGTCACAAAATTCAAGTCACAAGGGACTTTAAATACAGTGGCACAAAGCAATAGGTAACACAGTCAAATGTTTAAAAAAACCTTTAGATTCAGAATAAATGTGTATACAATATAAAACAAGGACGATTCATATGCTTAAAGAAATAAAATGGGTTCATCAAAAATGAACAAAAATATTTGAAAAAGTCAAGGAATACTTAAATAAAAACAATCTTTTGATACTAGAATTTCAGTGAGCAGATTATACAATAGATAAACATGGCTGAAGGGAGAATTAGTGTCTTGGAATCAGGCTTGGACATGGCTGGGCTGAAACATCCAACAGCAAGAACCAGTTTGGGTTGGAGGCCAGTCAGGAAAAGCCACTGTTCCTGCTGGAACAGGAGGTGAACTAAGTAGGGCTGGCTCAACTGGGCACCTCCTCTGGCAGGACACTGACCCGGCGGCTAAGCGCAAGAAACATGATAGAAAACAGCCCAGAACAGGCCATGGTAAGTTTTCCACTGGCATACAATTGGCAGACTGGGCTGAATCAGTTCACTTCATCCATTGGCAAATCCAAGCACCAGAACAGAGTGTGGGTCGAGCCAAGTTCAGTCACAACAAAAAACCACTGCATAATATGGAATGACAAGGTGGGCTTGCTTATACCGGATGTGACCACAGCACCCGACCAGCATGCATGAGAACCAGGAAGGGAGGGGGCAGAGCCAGCAAGGGGAATAATGGTGGGGTCCCCTTGCTGGACGGCTAATCCCACTGGAGAGCATGGGCTGAGATGGGGGCAGACCAGACTAAGCAGGGCTAAACACCTGTGTGCCTCATATGGACTAGATCAGGGGAAAGCCAGGCTGGGCTGATTATTCCTACTGGTGCAAGCGTAAATTAGAGTGGGTAAGGGTTGTTTGGGCTTAGCTGCAGCATCAGCTGGCAGAAGCTGGCACTGGGGGCTAATTCTGTCAAGTCAAACCACAGAACCACCTGGCAAATGCATAATCCGGGAGTGAGAGAGACCTGGGAGGGAAATAGTGGGCTCTTCCCTCTTGGGTTACCACTCCCACGGAGGGCACAAAAACTAGGACGGGGCTGGGGTGGCTAGACAGAGAGGCATTCAACAACATCCATGAGGGCTGGATAGTTGAGCTGGTTAGATGGAACTAAACTTCAATACCCATTGACATGTATGAGAGCCAAATGGGATGTGTGGGACGGACTGGACTAGTCTGCTACACACACTGGCAAACCATGGTAGGGGGCTGGCCTGGTACGGGTTATTGTGGGTGGCTCCAACCAGGCTGCAGCTCCCCCTGGTTTATGTGAGGGCCGAGTATGTGCTGGGCAGAACCAGGCTTGACTGCAACACCTGTTGATTCCAGTGGAAGTCGAGACTGAAAACAGAACAAACTCAGCAATTGCAACCACCAGCTGATCAGGGCAATGGACTGTGCTGGGCCCTGTGCTTGCTAGAACACACAAGAATCTGGTCTGGGAATACCTCAAAGTTTCTTTGGGGATCTCCCCAATCAAAATGCCAGACTCAGAACCTTAACCAAGAAAAGACAGAAGACAGAACAAGTCAATCAACCACCTCAGATATGTTGGCCGCGAAATACTGGGCAAATGGAGACTCTATGATGGACTGTGTCAATCAGTGGATTCTTCAATGACCTCATTGTGCTTGGAGTGGCCAGACTGGCAGAGATTCATAACTGAAGAATTACCAAAACCACTTGAGCAAGAATCTCAGAGCATGCCCCACGTCCGGGACTTGGATGGGTGGGAAACTGGGAGGGGCTTCTCCCTAAATATCTCCCTAAATATCTCCCTTTACCTCAGATATATGAAGGAAACAATATGAAAATAATAGTCTTACCCACTTTCCTATAGCTCTTGAACCTTTTTACTCTAATTAACTATGTAAAGATTGTCAAAAAAAATACAATAAAAATGAAAAAAAAAAGAAACAGGCTTGGAAAAGTCACCCAGAGTTCAGCACACACACACAAAGAGACAGAAAGAATGAAGATATGAAGATACATATGGCCCGACACAATAGCCTAGTGGCTGAAATCCTCGCCTTGAACACGCCAGGGTCCCATATGGGCACCAGTTCTATCCCAGCAGCTCCACTTCCCATCCAGCTCCCTGCTTGTGGTCTGGGAAAGCAGTAGAGGACAGCTCAAAGACTTGGGACCTTGCACCCGCATGGGAGATACTGATGAAGCTTCAGGCTCCTGGCTTCGGATCGACGCAGATTTGGCCATTGCAGCTGCTTGGGGAGTGAATCAAAGAATGAAAGATCTTCCTCTCTGTCTCTCCTCCTCTCTGTATATCTGACTTTGCAATAAAAACAAACTTTTTTTTTTAAGGGGAGGGAGACATAGAGGATTGAACAAGAACTTGAATGTGTCAAATCAGGATCCTATATGGAAATGGAAATTTTCCAAAGTTCATGAATGGTGCAGTCCTCAGATTCTGGGCATTCTTCTAAGCC